GCCACTCCAGCGGACGTAGAAGGCTCTTGGCTGTCCTCTGCCTGCAGCCGGCTACGTGCCAGTCGGTCCTGGGACACAGCCCGGGGGCATGTAAATATTAATTTGTATGCAGGCAGGACCCTCCTGACGGGCATCACCTTCGCGTGGTGGAAGGGACTGCGTGCTACCCAGTAACCTAGATGCGACTAGATAGCCAGACTAAGGGTGCTGTAAATATCTAAATGTCACTGTTTCGCCCATTGGAGGGGCCAAGTTTGGCAGATTAGCAAAAAAACCAAACGAGATAGAAGGTTTATTTTACTAGTCGTCATAGATATTTCATCGTTTTAACACGCCGTTACAGATAAAATGTCCTTTTTATCCTTTTATCTTAGGATCAAGTATCAAAAACATCGAAATTCTTACCTGCATATGTATTCTAAAAAATGATGTTTCAAAAGCAAATCGCACCATCATTAGAAAGACAGTTTAATGTAAAAACGTTTTCTAGATCATTTTGCTGGTAATAGCTATCATGAGTCATTTTGACATAAAGCAAAGTATTCAAAGTTAAAAGATTGTTGGTCATTTTTTGAAAACGTTCGCGCTGTTTTTCAGGTGCTTAGTTCAAGGTGACTGATGTAAACGTATATCACAATTTTCGCAGATGAAGCTGAGTTGTAAAATACAGGCTTGAGTCGATTGAGTAGAGATCACTTCTGCCATAGGGCCACGCGTGACTCTAACAAAATTTTACGATGGCAGTGCTATATTGGGTCACTTTTTGATGCAATGTATCTCGGCAAAAATGTGCCAAAACACGTGTTTTTCACTGACAGATGAAAGTTTTGCTGCTCATAGAACAGGTACATTCCATCACCCTTACAGGAATGCAAGTGTTTTAATTTGGAATAAAAATCTTAAAGAATATATGATGGATAGTTTTTAAAATTTTGACTCGTTTTTAAACCAGGTTTGATAGAAACTGAAGTTATGAAGCTTATTTATGAACACGTTTCTGACATCAGGTGAACCAAGTTTTGAATAGTCGAACAGTTTTGATTTAAACGGAAAATACTAGCAACGAAGCTCACCTTGTTTATCATGCTAAGATGCGCATGATACGTGTTTATCGCGTGGTTTTTACGGAAAGAAGTTTTGTAGGTTACAAAAAAGAAATATGATAGAGTGGAGTTAATCTTTCTATCGCGTTGCTTTGACATTTCGCTATGTAGGCTGCTTTAAACAAGACATATCTTTTTAACCACTCGAGTCACAGTGCGTATAGTCCACCCGCGTGTAGCCAACGTTTCGATGTTTTTTATTTCGACAAATTAAGTGAAGTTAGTTTTTTCATAGCGGTGTGTTTACATTTTGCTATGTGGGGCCATCCCAAGCAAGATATCTTTTTTACCACTTGTGTCTTATAGTTTATCTGCGTGTAGCCAATGTCTGGTGATATTGTTCGTTGTCAATTTCATCTCTTAAATGGAGTCTTCCACATTTTACCGGATTTTGAGCTGAATTAACCATCTTGAAGACCTTTTAGTGCTGTTCACAACCCTGCCGTTCTTAACACCTTAACCCCTCTAGTTTTTGAGATACGCGCCCGCGAAAATGGGGAGCGTATTTCGGAGAGGGTATTTAAAAGTCCCGCTGGCATTCATGAGGTCATAACGACGTCATTTCAGTCCCGCCGTTCCATGAGGCACGCAGCGATCGAGGTCAAGACAAATGTAATTGTTGAGGCGTTCATACCTGCCGCTCATGAGCACGATTTCCAGATATAACGGCCGTCAATTGGCTCCCAATCGATGGTGCACAACGTAAGCTGACGTAATCAAACTATGACACATTGAGGAGCATATTTACTAAACAGAAAAATGTGTTGTCCAGAGAAGCCTCTTTCACTTAAAAGTATACTAATAGTTATAAGCAAGCTTGTTTCATCATATTCAAGGCTTGCTTCAATAACTTTGAATAGTAAACATTCCGTTTAACATAGAAAGTGATACGTAGGAGCGATTTTCGGAAATATTAACTTGCATACGAGAAATAACATGGAAAATGAACTATGAAGTCTTTGAGATTTGTCATCTTTTAATACAAGTATTATGTAGCCCATAATCGGGGTTGTCTGTTCATATAATTTAAAAGCTGTGACTTAATTACTAGGCAGTACAGAGCACACCCAAATTTGAGCTTTTTGGCCGATGTTGAACGTGAACTTCAGTGAAAACCTAACCAGCTAAGGTAGAAGGAGAAAGTGTTTTGGCATCACAATGCTTTTAAAAACATTTGAGCAGAAGGGGTATTTGGAAAACAATTTGAATGTCTTGGCGATCGGTATAATGAAAAACTTACGTAGTGAAGTACTGCACGGACAAGCTGGCAGTTTAACCTTTGTTTTCCTTCCCAAAAGTGTGTCAAACAATTCTCTATATAACGTTTTTTTACGAAACGGCAATCGATTATTAGCTCACGATTTAGGCCGATGAAGCAAATCAATGTTACAAGCTTTACGGCAAGGTGGCAAGCAGGATAAAATCACCCGACCTGATTCTTAGGATGGGCAAAATCACCAGTATCCGTTTTTAATGTTTTTTTGTAGTCTCTAATTGATGGATTTGCTTGATTCAAGCGGCAAAACCTGCAGGATAGAAGTATGCATAACATAACGCCATTTCAACAGGATCACTCAATACTTCTTTGCAACAATGTTTTTTGTAGACTAAAAAATGGTAAGTTTCTTGCTTTTAACTCTTTTGTTTTGCTTTTAATAGCCTAATAGAAATAATAGCGTTGCTTCCCGTCCAATTACACTTCGAATGGAGTTTTGAAAGAAAAATCGGGGACTTAGGTTTCTTAATTCGCACTTTGGCGCAAGTGACAAGTTGGAAAAAGAAGCTTTTTTGCTCACATCTCAACTTTCCCCAGCCTGACCTCAAAATTTCAAACTTGAAACAATGCTCCATGTCAGAACGCTTTCTTTTTTGCACCTCACGACAGCTTCCATGAAATGTTCAAAATATGCAAACATTTTGGCTCAAAATTTTTGCGCCACTTTTGTCCGATTTTCAACTCATTATTTTTAATCGACTGGTTTCGTTGAGATCTTTTTTTTCATGTCTTTGAACGTAGCAAATCGTACTGTCAGAAATACTCAAAGCTGTACCTAGTGAACAATTTACATCGCAATTCAAAGAAAGTGTTGTAACGCGTGACAGAACCTTATACCCATACATAGGCTTACCAAAATCGTTTCTAAAACGTACCAAAAATCATGAGTGTGACCTAAAATAAATGAACGCACCCTATGGACCCTAAAGAGAAAATAAACTGTGCAAAAGCCCAGACGTCTTTCTCTAGGGCACATAGCTTCAATCTTATTTTGTCTGTTTTCACATAACTGACCATTTTTAGCACTCTGTAGTACCCAGAACCAAAATACGTATCAAATCTCTACCGTAGTTAGGAACACACATGCTCTTTTCTCCAACACCTAGGCTGCTTGGGAGTGACGTGGCGTTTTTTTCGGTGTGGATGATTCTATCCTACTCGACTCCAGACCACGACACAATCATCCATTTTTCGGCGTGGATGATTCTATCCCACTCGACTCCAGACCACGACAGAATCATCGATTTTTCGGTGTGGGTGATTCTATCCTACTCGACTCCAGACCACGACAGAATCATCCAGTTTTCGGTGTGGGTGGTTCTATCCTACTCGACTCCAGACCACGACACAATCATCCGTTTCTAGGATGCATTCACCCCCCCCCCCCCCTAATTCAGTGAGGTTGGGTGAGGTTAGATTAGGTGAGATGGTGTGACAAAATTGGAGAGATCTGGCATTTGCAGTGGTAGCAAGTGCTGTTGTCTTGAAATTTTGGAGTGCCAGACACCGCTTTAATCGCCGCCGAATTCCAGAGAGCGAGATTTGAGTATCCTGGATGGACAGCACCCCACAGCTGGCTCCACGTCAGGCGTCCCGGCACCCAGAGCTCGGGTCGGCCAGGGAATCCCATGAGAAGCGCTGGATGCATCTCGATCTAGTGAAAACACAAATCCTCCATACTGCTGAGCGAAGCAAGCCCGCAAACACTTATGCGGTGAATGGTGCTGGCCGGTTGTTTATTTAATGTAGTTTGAAACCATGTTGCTTGCAGCTCTCACGGTTTAGTTCAACCTATACATTAAAAACAAATCCATAGATATGTCGAATTCATGGAGCGCCTTGGCTGCTATGGCGTTCAACGGTGCGTTTTTCTGCTGGAGAAAGTTGTTTTATAGCTGTGAAATCCTCCGCCGTCGGCCACACATTGCGATCTCGTTTTCAGAGCGTCAGCCTCCCTTCTTGTCAACTGCCAACGTTTAACTTCTCACGGCCTGGTGGTGTCGGAGGGAGTTTGCCCTGGTGTCATGACACATGATTCCCACTTACAGCTGCCTCAGTGGACGGCCGAACTTATGGCAGCATAGGCGCGAGAATCGCATGAAGGGCCTGTATCACAGCACCCATCCGGATCACAGCGGCGCTATCATTGGTGACCGATACTCCGAGGATGTGGCGACTGCAGACAACTATGGGAGGTGTGCTGGGGGTTGATGTGCACGGATCTCCTAGATCATCGTATTTGTCAGGCATTTACGCCATTGCTTCATTTCGATGGTCCTTATGCTTGAGTAGTGGGAGAACTTTGACAGGTTTGACATTCTGAACTCCAGGGCTCCGCCATGGGGCTTACGTCGATATGCGTAATGAGATTTACGGCGAGTTTCTTTCCATGCAATGCCCATGTGGAACATGTTAAATCTGCAGAAATGTCGTGGAACGTGCTCATTTGTCTCCCCTCTCCATTGGTCAACCCCATGTTCGCAAAAAGACGATGTCTGTCCATGACCTGTGTTGATCTTGACGTTCCATGTGGTGACAATTCAGGAATGGCTCGAGAGGAATCAATGCAAGTGATATTTGTTGTGATCAGGGCATGTTCGAATGATGCAGGTACAACAGTCAGGTATCTATATATTCTCTTTGCACGAAATAACAGGAATATTGAACACAGAGTCCTACGCTTCGCCACAGCACCACGTCACCAGTACGTCAAAAAATGCCCATGTAAGGACAATGCGTCGTAACTTTATATGACACTTCCGAGGGCATATGAACATCACAGAACCAGCTGCGGCTGACGTCCGTTGAACACGTCACATGAGCAAACAAATTGCACGAGCACTTATCCCCTTCAAGGTATGGAAGCACTTTGTATCGTGCATTATGAGTACTTCAACAACGCGCAAAACCGCGCGCAAGGAACACTGCATTCAGCAGCTCAACAGTAATTTTAGCCTCCTAAATAAGAAACCGGTTCTTTTATAAAATAGATATCGGCAAAATGCCATTTCAAAGCTCTGCACACTAGAGTCGTCGTATCATGCATAAATACGTTGGTGAATGGTGATCCATATAGCTACACGGACGTAATCTCGGCTTCTTCGGAAGGCCGACAGTCGAAGGGATCGAGCATTTGTTTCTTGATCAGCCCAGATATCTACGTTAACAAAAACCAGCGCCACGTGAAAGAGCCGTGCCGCCCAGGCCTGGTCAGACGTACCGAAGGAGTCCTTCTATTGCGTAATGCGCTACGTTCCGAAAGCATTAGAACTCTGCAGCGGATGCAGGCCTACAACTTACTGCGCTCGAGGCAAGATCATATTTTACCGCCATCCCGTTCCCATGCTGGGTATTACAGCACTGACGCATGCCGTGGTGAACTGCGTGCAGGAGACGCCCTAGCTGTCGCCTGCTGACAACTAGAGCCATCTGACGGCACCGGCGCCGCCGTTGGAAGCAGAGATTGAACTAAAAGGCGGCGGACGCGCGCCGCTCCAGACGACCCCGGTTAGGCTTTCTCGGCAACTTGTGACCTATCCACCGGCTGGTGCTGCTGATGCGCTCTCTGGCGGCGCAGGTCCGACTTGATGAGCGCCGTCAGTATGGAGCCCAGCAGTAACATGGCGGCCAGCGCCAGGTTCGCCGCACGGTCGCCGTAGCTGGCAAGATACGGCGGACATTAATTTTGCCAGGTCACTCTTGGTCATCCTAAATGTACAATTACAATGTCGCTGATGATTATCGTGGCGTGGATGGCGTATTTAGTGCTTGATGTTTTAGATTCCACCCTCACAGCGAATGAAATGCAAGATATCGAGCTGCTCAGACACCATAGTTTGATCGGTTACGCTGTCAGTGACTCTACCTTGAATCTGGTTTAAGCGGCCAGCTGACCCGAGGCCGCGCTATCCGACACAGTGTCCTCACCCGTTGAGCAGCTTTCCGTCGGCGATGGTGAAGATGATGCCGAAGAACTGCGCCGAGGCGTTGAGCAGGCCCGATGACGTGCCCTCCGACTCGGGGTACGTGATCTCGGCGGCGAACTCGAAGCCGACTGGCAGGTAGCCGGTCATGAAGAAGCCCAGAAGGCCGGCGGTGATGTACACCACGCTGATGTAGCCCAGCGGCAGCGTGAACGTGTAGGCCACCATGCCGGCCACGCTCAGGACGTACACGGCCAGTGTCGTTCCCCTGCGGCGGCACCGGGAGCTCAGCTGGGGTAACACGTGGCTGTGAGTCACGCGCCGCCACGAGGGCCATGCCATGTGGCTCCTCAGGAGGGAAAGGCAGCACGGGTGTCACAAAAAAACCATGGGGATTCAAGATCATCGACGGTCGGAGTAGGCAACCGTTGACATCAGAGCAGTTGCGCTAGGGCGCGGCGGCCTACTACATGTCGTCTGGTCGCGTCTTGGCCTGGCATATGCGACGCCACGTGATCGAGGACCCTAATCCACAACACTCGCTGCCACTCAGGAAGGCAATCAGAGGAGCCCTCCCGCTGGGGAGCAGGACTCTCCTGGGGGCCAGGCCACATCGCGGCCACTGACACCCTACTGGCCTGGGGGGGGGGGGGGGGGGGCGGCAGGGCGCAGCGAGGGGCTCGAGAGACGAGACATGCGGGGTAAGGCACCCTAGCTCAGCACGGTGCCGGCTCTCTGCACGCGGCCCGCGGGCTCGGTACCCCGATTAGGGTTCAACCGACGCGTCGTCGCAGGTGCTAATGACGCAGGCGCGGCCGCGGTCCGTCGAAGCCACACTGGCGCCGGCTAAGGACCGGACCTGCCACATTGGTCAGCGTCTGGTCTCATCGGCGGACAATGGCTAATGCATTACAGTTCCGCCAGCACCGGCCAGACCAGGCACAGGCCAGCACGACTGATTACGGCTAATGGTTAGACAATTGTGCCGGTGCCTACGGGATCCTTTGAGCCACGCGCAAAACACATCCTGGCTATAGGGGCTCGATACGCATCTCTGTGTTGTAACATCATGGAATTGTCCCATACACGGCGTTGCAAACGGCTAGCTGAGTGATCGTCGTAGCCAAAACCAGCAGTTTTGACTGCGCCGGACAGCGGGGCACCAGAACTACATACACCCTGGGGCAGGTGCGTTTGAGCCTGGTCCCGCTCTCACTCACTTGAATCGGTGCGTTTTATCCAGCCACACGCCGCAGACGACCGAGCCCAGCATACCGGCCAGGACGATGACGAGTCCAATCCGACCGGCGTCCTCCTCCGCTGTCTGAAACAACAGACGGACGCCATGAAAGTCCCGTACCCCCCCCCCCCGCCGTCTGAAACAACAGACGGACGCCATGACCGACGTCCTCCTCCGCTGTCTGAAACAACAGACGGACGCCATGAAAGTCCCGTACCCCCCGCCGTCTGAAACAACAGACGGCCGCCAAGACCGGCGTCCTCCTCCGCTGTCTGAAACAACAGACGGACGCCATGAAAGTCACGTGGGCTGGTGACTCAACGGCTCCGCGGCAGAAACACGGGGGGGGGGGGGGCACAGTACTTAAGCAGTCTGTTCCGCTGCTCCATCGTCACTTCGGAAACTTAAAACGTCATCTGGCCGTTATTGAGGGAGGGGGAGGGGGCTCCAGAGTGCTACCGTGCCGCGGAAGATGAAGCCGTAGATGGGCTTCAGAGCCGCACAGGGAAGGGACACCGCAGCCAATACAGTCGACAGGCCGGCGCGACGATGCTTGTGCATGTGTTCGCGTAAACGTGTGTGTCGGAGGACTTCACGAGACCACTGCCGTGTGTGTCGGAGGACTTCACGAGACCACTGCCGTGTGTGTCGGAGGACTTCACGAGACCACTGCCGTGTGTGTCGGAGGACTTCACGAGACCACTGCCGTGTGTGTCGGTGGACTTCACGAGACCACTGCCGTGTGTGTCGGAGGACTTCACGAGACCACTGCCGTGTGTGTCGGAGGACTTCACGAGACCACTGCCGTGGGTGAGTTAATCCGTTGAAAAGTGAGGCGAGGAACTGGACACTGGTATACATGCCAGATGTGGATGACTAAAGGTTTAACGATGCAGTACGGAATCGGGATTTTTGATTCTTGACCTTTTATTTGACACAATTTAGGATCGAGCCAATGTGTGGCACACAAGCAGGGCCTTGCACAATTCAGCTTATAACATGATTGGACAAACGAAAAGCACGAAACCATCAGGCATTTGTCAATTTACCATTGTTTCATGTCCAGTGGAACTCTGTCACTGACCGTTTTACGGCCTAAGATGGCGCTCACTCAAGCCAGATATCGTCCCTTTGTTTAACTTATGCTGACGCGCTGTCCTCGGCTCTTGACTGAGCCGGCGCGGGTCGCTATTGTTTAGGTGCTGTAAATCATGCAGCTTATGCTGGTGACATGGTTCTCCTCTCGACCACACCTGTCTGTTGATAAAGGTCGTTGGACATCTCTGAGAACTTACGCAAGACCAACATAAGAGGAACTACACCGCTAAGAAGTGTGTTTGCATAGCGATGCAACCAAAGTTGCATACAATTACGAGGTAACCACAGATCCTCTGGAGTGGTACACGTTTAGCGTACTTTAACGCACGCCCTGGTGGCGGTTGAATACTCTTCGCCCTGGGTGGCGCTGGGTGGCAATCTGAGCCCCCTGATATCTAAAAAAAAGCAAGAGAGCTAGACACTCAATTCACGGAATGGGTTGATCTGTATAAACATTCACTACTGTCCAAATTGTATGTTTATAAGCCATGACCTTTGGGCCAAATCAGGTAAAACCAGGTCAAACCAAAGAATGGTCTCCAACGTGCCCCGACTTCCTAACGCAACCGCCCTGAACCTGAATACCTATTTTAAGCAAAATATCATTGATGCTTATTTTAGGTCACCGAGCTTGTTTCAACTTGAGAATGTCATAGTACTATTATTTTTGTTATTCAACCAGAAGTCTAGCATATTGTTTTGATTTTGTCAATTGAATAAGCGTCAGGGATTACGCTAGGCCGTGCATTTCTAAAAACAAGGAATCGATCTGGGTCATTCCAGGTCAGTGACCTACTATGACCTCAAAAAGTCCACAAAGATACCTGTTGCGGTCGCTATTATCAAGAAATTCTAAATGGCTTCAGAAACTGTCTCATTCAGCAAGCTCCCTAGTAGAAAACCAGATCGGTTTGGCCCCGGTCTGGCTTTCATACTTGGCCCTGAGTCGATGGAATTTGTCATAATCCTAAGTCCATTGCTGAAGTGCCTACGAAGCTATCTCAGAGGTACATGGCTTCGTCTAACACTCCGTTGTCGCATCAGGTTGAACATCAGATCTCTAGAAACTGCTTTCGTTGACAGCCACGGCTCGGCTTTGATCTGCCATAGGTCAAAAACCTTTCAAGGAAGATGCAAATGTCATACAAAAGTGCTCGTTTTATATGCCTACAGCTGTGAAAAATTTGGCGCGGCCACGCAGCACCCTCGGAAAATCATTTTGTAAAAGGCTTTATAAGGTGGCAAAGTGACCCACCACCCGAACGCGTGCTAAGATACGCCCCTTGTTAAATAACCATGTACACCGATTCGCCACAGATATATCGGTATCCTAAACTGCATGGCAGTGGTACCAGCTGCGTGGAAAACCTCGTTTTTCATAAACCTAACCAAGAATGTGAATCGGCCGCCGGACGCCAGTGGCTACGGAGCCTCAGCTAGTGCTGGTGCTGACCATCGGGCGCCAGCGGCTACAGAGCCTCAGCTAGTGCTGGAGCTAACCATCGGACGCCAGTGGATACGGAGCCTCAGCTAATGCTGGTGCTGACCATCGGACGCCAGCGACTGCGGGACCCCAGCTAATGCTGGAGCTGACCATCGGGCGCCAGTGGCTACGGAGCCCCAGCTAATACTGGAGCTGATCATCGGGCGCCAGTGGCTACGGAGCCTCAGCTAATGCTGGTGCTGACCATCGGACGCCAGCGACTGCGGGACCCCAGCTAATGCTAGTGCTGACCATCGGACGCCAGCGACTGCGGGACCGCAGCTAATGCTAGTGCTGACCATCGGACGCCAGCGACTGCGGGACCCCAGCTAATGCTGGAGCTGACCATCGGGCGCCAGTGGATACGGAGCCCCAGCTAATGCTGGTGCTGACCATCGGACGCCAGCGGCTGCGGGACCCCAGCTAATGCTGATGCTGACCATCGGACGCCAGTGGCTACGGGGCCCCAGCTAATGCTGGCACAGGAGACACGATCCTCACTACATGAAGAGTTCTACTACAAATTTAATATTTGTTTACATCTATAAATGGCACGGAACATTTTGTTATGCTGTGCACTGGGATGGGACGGCAGCAGTCAGCAAACCTGTCATGAAATGTCCAAATATGGCTAAAAGTCGGATGAAATCGCCAACGCTATCGCAATGGGATGGGCAGGAACTACATTTACGAAAAATTAGCTAGGTACTTATGTCACCAATTCAAGTTCTCCGCGATGATACTGGCCACAAACATTGCAGCGCATCAGTATTTTCAAGCACGTGCGGTGTAGTGGCCTTCCACTTACAAACTGCCACGAGTGCACATCCAGCTTTTTAAATCGTCTATGTGTGAGGAATGAGGAAATCAGTCGTGAAATTCAATGAACGAATTAATTATGAACCTTACATTGATAATGGAAATGATATAATAAATATCAGTTTGGAATAGGGCTATGATATACGGATACAAAATGATTTGGAACAGGGCTATAATATTCGGCTAAGGATGAAAGGGCTATATGAGGAACATGGTTGGCTAAAACAGCTTGGCAGACAACAGCAGCAGACAACCAGCTTGGGTGCGCTCTGACAGTTCTGGAGCCGCGCACAGGAGCAAGACGCGTCCCCTGTAGACGCGCCAAGACACGCCAGCATAAAGCGTCCTGACTAAAGGGGAAGGAGAGTCACGGGTATATGAATGTGTTTGGTTAGATGATAGGTGCATTATGCAGGTAAATGGAACCAAATTTCACATTTGTTTACATGGCTGAGTGGTAAGTCGATGGATATTACTTGAAGCCTCACTCCTTCACTCTAGACACACTCCTCCGCATTTACGCCACCCGCAATACTGAGAAGACACTACACGGCATCTGGTGTTCGTTTGGCGGGCCAGTCCCTTGATGTGGTAGATTTTATTTGTGTGGCCGCTGGCAGCTTGCGAAAATAAACAGCGCAGAGGCAAACATGCAATAGCACTTGGGGCAGTAACAAACAGACCAATTTCGTGTGCGCCTGGATTGTGTCGCAGAGCGCAGACCACCGCTCTGGGTTAAATGCGGGGCAGATTACTGATGGACGCAACGTTGGACGACTGTTATAATACCTCTCAGTCGTTAGGTGCCTTCACGTCACGCAAACGTCTCCTTGAGTAAACAGAAATTGTTCGAATCATCATCCATCCAGCGATGGCGTCGGTACTAAACAGCTGTATATGAGGCTGACTAGATGACCAAATTTGTGATGAAATAAGCACATAAAATGCAACCAGTCTACCCAGAAGGCTGAATGCATCAGCAATCTAACAAAGCTGAAAACGATGGTATAATTGTTCGGATTATAATCCTCGTTTGGGGTGTTAGTCTGTACACAACGTCCCAGCCATTAAACTCTCCGGCCGTTGTCGGGTGTTGTGGGCACTTCAGGACTGTATGATGTTCGGCTTTCGGCCACATACTCGTCAACACTAGAGCTCTCTCATCAAAATTTCTGGAAGTTGAGCCAGGGTATTCTGATTGCAACTCCAGTGCTTTATCAATTAAGCCAAGGAAATGAAGTAATGAAACGTTGTGTGCATACTGACACACCAGACGAGGATGATAGTCTGAACAATTATTCCTGATACGTGATACTGATACCTCGTGTCAATCCTTTCGTAAACCTATAACCTGAGACAGGACGAAAATAAGAGGGATGGGAGGGCAGGAACATTCCATACATGGGCGACGGCCCATATTTTTGTCTATGGAGTGTGGGCGAGGGCACGGTGTTAGCCATCCTTCTCAGTTAACCCTCCGAACTTTTGTATGCATTATGGCCCAGCGTTCAACGTTAAATGCATCGCTCATCTCCTCAGCTGTCAGAATGGTAACCTGGTGGTGTGAGCAGACAGGATTTGTATATCTTGAACCAGGGTGACGCTACGCAACCGTACTCCTAAAGACGAAGAAAATATGCTTCCGCGGTCGGTGAACAGCTCACCACGACAAAAGACGAGAAAG